AAGTGTGAATGGTTGTTTGTGTCTAGATGCCAACCCTGTGATGGACTGGCAACCTGTCCAGGGTGTACCCCGCCCTTGCCCAATGTCACCTGGGACTGTCTGTGACCCTAAAAGGATAAGCGGTATGGCTAATGAATTAATGATTAATAGGTCCCCTTTAAACAAGCAGTTTTCTTCAGTAGCAAATTCTCCATGTTTGCTGTCTAGTCTCTCCTAAAATGTGATTGGTTGAAGAAGAAAAAACCTGTTGTCTTTCAGCACATTTCTAAAAGGCTAAAACGTTCCATTTTCACAGCAGAAGCTCTGCTCTGCCAATAAAGGTGCAGTACCTTTTCAAAAGTGCTGCACCTGAGCACCTTGCATTATCTTCACTTTGATGTTTGTGTAAAATAGGCAACTGCAAACAGGAAACAAACGTTTCTTAAGTTAAAAAAGATTAGGGATGGAAATGAATGTGTTGTCAATGTCAGAAACACTGGTAGTTCGTAAGTTAGTTAGATAATTAGTAAGGATCCAGTTGTGTGGTGGAAGGAGACAGCGCACCATAAGCAGATCTCTGTCAGGTGGAACATTACGTCTGCGATGCAACTATCTCAGTGGTGATGCTCTCAAATATTCCCAAGATATACAAAATAATACTAAATGTTAAAATCTCCCTCTCCAGCTCTTTCACCCCTTTTAATGACACGAGAGGTGGTTAGTCATGTTGAGGTATGTAAAGAAAAAGGACATTAAACTGATACTGAAGTATTATGTATAATAATGACATTTAACGTAACGCAGTAGATTTGTTTTTAAGAACTAACATACAAGATTTGTACAGTTACCAGATGTTATTTTCCTGTAACTGGCAGACAAAGGCCTTGTTTGTGTGCTCCATGTCCTCCACTCTGTGTTTCTCCCTCACTATCTCTCTCCCTCTCTCTTCCTTGTATCGTCCCCAGCTCGCAGCAACAAACAGAGTTGTATGCAAATACTAAAAGCCATAATGCATTATATTGTTTGGTGTTAACATTTGAATATTTAAATGATGCATTTTAGATCTAGATATTCCCATTTCAATTTCCATATACTGTACATGCTGAATGCAGAGTTAAGTTTGCCCATATAGAAGGTTGAAGACTTTGTGAGTGTATTTGTGTGTGTTTGACACACCATCATTTTCATGATTATGTACTTCCTGCATACATACTTGTTAACAATGTAAGTTGCCTGCCCTAATAAATGACAACTGTCTGTGGCCTATGTCAGTGCCACAGTGCTGGATGTGTGAATCACCCACGTACATGCCACTTAACCAAATTGGCAAGGCTGATAAGCCGTATTTACATAGCAGTGTTGCTGGGCGTGATTACTATCAGTAAAACTTCCCCCCACGCTTTAATGGAAAGTTGGGATATAACTTAGTGTAGGTTACAGCTGCCCTCAGGAAAATAGCTCAATTACACCCGTGAATATAAACACTCGTGTGGCTGTCAGAGTGGTAAACAGATGTGGGGTGACAGTCTGTAGTACGTGATCAGTCAAGCAGCTGTTGCTGCACCTTCATTTATTCACTTGTTCTGATGATGGATTCCAGTTTCTCCCCCCACAGCTCAACATGCAGCGGCACTATTTGCTTATGGGGCAGTGGCAAAAGGCAGATTAAGCTGCTGAGAATATCATTAACATGTTCCCTTTGTAAAGTTAACGCCTGCCACACTTTTACTGCTGCTGTCAAACAAAACAATCAGTTTGCATGAAGTGGACATCATGGATGGACATGGAGTGACTTTAATCCCTGTCTCTCTGTTCTGATGCAGGGCAGCACTGAAAACACTGCGCTACCAACTTCTGTTCCGACAACACAAGAGCATTCAGAATGATGTCATATGATGTTATTTTGTCTTAGCAAACTGTGCATTTGTACTCACACAGTGTATTGAAAAGGACATCCCCTTTGGCTGTTGTATCATTGGGAGCCTACCTGTCACAAAGCTGATATGACGCTCTTTGAATGCAATGTGTACATGTGATCAGAGCTGCAGCGAGCGCCCCAGATGACAAAGTGACTAGGAGTGTCAAAGCAGCCTACAAACAGGCCTGTCCTCTTCCAGACAGGAAGCTGGGAGCAGCAGAGGCGCTGCCTTGTCTCATCTGCCAGCAGCGCTCGCTGCCTCCCCGCCTCATCACAGCAACCGCGTCTGATGGTGTGCACAACTCCATGCTGGACGGCTGTTTTGATTTCAGCCTGTGTGACACATCTGTTGCTTGTCATGTTGTGTTGTGCCTGTCTGCGAGTTGAGCACGACCGGGGCAAATGTGCTCCTCATCCCTCTGTCCGTGTTTACAGGGCTCGCACTTACAAACAGGCCGGCATGGTGCACGTCGTGTGGAAGGTCAGGAGGTCTTACGAGACACTACGTGCACCTGTGCAGCCGCTGTCACAAGCCATCAATCCTCATCTCCTGCTGCAATTGTGGGGTGTTCAGGCTGTCGACAGTGAGTGCTCTGTATTAAAAGATGCATTATCTTCTAATAAAGGCTGTATGAAATCCTCAGTAAAAGTCAGGAGTGACTGCAGTGTTGATTGTATATAATATAAGAGGAAAAAGGTATGGATCTCGGTCACTTTATCATCCTCTAAGAATTCCCCATCATTGTACTGTCTCCTGAAAATCAATTATTTCCCTCCCATGTCTAATTGAGATAATTTGCTACAGCTGTAAATCAAATCTCCATCAAGGGTGCATTCTTCACAATGTGCTCTTTATGGGCTTTTAAAGTACTTTGCAGGAGCATTTCACAGAACTACCAAAATCAAGGATATTCTATGCAAGACTCCCACTGTCAGCTTAAACACATGAGCGATGACGATGGCTAATTGGACCTATCCAATCCATCCATGAAGTACACATGCTATATCAGCGAAAATCAAACGAGATGTAAGGCAAGCCCAGCACTAAACAGCCAGAAAGGTATTTATTAATGGGATGTTACAGTAGCTTAGAAGGAGTGTGCTTCATTTCTGTGTCCTTGTCTTTCCAATCAATATTCAAAAGTGCCTCGTAATTACACGTTAAGGATTCATTTACATGCAAAGTGCTAGTGTGGCCATAAATTGCAATGAAAAAAGTTCTGTCTGAGAGATTTTTGCTTTTTTCTTTCTATCTCTTGTGATTATTTTTAGATGTTTTGGTTTTTAAACTATTTAATTTAAAATGAAACAAAAAAAAAGTAACTGCAAAATGAGAAAAATACGGTTTGTGTACTTGAACAATTTGTGTGAGTGTCAAGCCCGAGCCTGTTATGTAAATACAATCCCTCTTGAGAGGGTGGGGAAAAATCTGAGAGGGCTCATTTACATTGTCAAATGACACAACACTCACACTTTCCATTTACTATCAAACTGTTTTGCAGAAACACTAACGTGGAAACTATCAGCGCGTGTAGCTCCTCGCCACTGAGTCGATGTAACAATACTACTTTAAGACAAACTGAAATCGGGTTGGATGGTACACAACGTGATCGAACACCGTGACTGCCATTTTGACCGGCCTCGTCAGACCACAAGAAAAACACGTAGGCGCTCTGGCACGGCAGGGAGGCACAACGCTGCCATGGGGCTCTAATATATTCAAAGAGGGATCATTTACTTAAGGCTTGCATCCAAGGATCAGTCTGGCCTTCATTAGCCTCAATCTGACACGGATGTGAACAACATGTTGGCTTGCCACATGAACACTGCCCCTCCTCCCTCCCTCTGCGTACCCCAAACACTCTACTCCCCTGCCTTCTCTGAGACCTGCACAACAAATTCCTCTGGAAATATATCACAGGTTGTTAGCATTCCAGAGAGAATTTTACATGGGTGTACACTCAGGCCTTAATTAGAGACACTATTTGATCATTCAGCAGCTGGGCTTTATTAAAAATACGGGTTCACATCACCCTACAGTCACCCCCAGCTCAGTGTGAAAGAGCTCACAGAGGCAGAAGAATCTATGAAACAAGAATATGAATATTCATCATCTGATGCGTAGGGACCCTGTACGGGAAATATACGCCCCAGCAAGGCTTTTTTTTTTCTTGTTGTTGGGTTTTTCTTATTTGTTTCATTTATTTTAAAAAGCTGACCTGAGAAATCATTTCAGTATGAAGTCTGTCTAAAATCACTATGTAGAGTTTTAATGTCCCATGATGGTCTAAATGTTCTTTTTCTACCCTAACACTGTAAAAAAAAAAAAAAAAAAAAAAAAAAGGTTATGTTTACAATAAGGTATATTTAACATATATTCAATGAATAAATATAACAAAAAACATAAAACACAACATTATGAACCTTTACAGAGGCCCACTGAAAGCCTCAACCTAAATGTCAGCACAGAACCTGAGCTACATCGACCTGAAAGAGAAGCGAAGAGATGTAAACTACATCTGACCAAGGTCGACAGGGACTATAAAACAAACACCGGGTTTAAGGTGAAGTCTTCCCTGCATGAAGGTTAGCCATGTTTTGTGTTTACACTACACTGCAGGCTTTGAAATTGTTTTGCAGTGTGGAGTCTGCCCAGGGTCATTGTTTGTTTTTGACGTGTTTATACACCACACAAGGAGTAATGACTTCTAGGATAGTCGGGGGAGGGGGTGCAGACGCGATCCAGCACACTATCTGCAATTTTTCTTTACTTTTCAGGTTCACTGTCAACTCTCAACAGCCGACAGTGAGAGGCAGCGTCGCTGTCCCCATGTTCAGCATCATTCAAAGTGATTTAAATATGCAACTGCATCCGGAAACCAGAAAATCGGTTACTATGCAAAACCTTGCTTATCGTTTCGTGGCATTCAAACTTTTAAAATAATTTCCATATAATGGCCTTCTTTGAAAAGACATTACAAACCAGTTTGTCCAAATGTTAGAAAATAATGATGAGTGTTTTAGACAAAGCTAATACACAAGTTGTGTGTCTGTGTTAACTGACGCGCACTGCTGTCTACTGACATGCATGAGAAACACTTACTTTGATCTGTGGCTCCACAGGATGTCACCACTGGAGTCTCCCGGCTGGACCGACGAGCAGCAGATAGAAGGGGAGGAGAGAAGAAGAGGAGAGGTGGTAGGAAGGAAGGAAAGTCAGGGGGTGGAGGCAAAAGAAAGGAAAAATAAGAGACACAGTGGAAATTATTTAAAACATGAAGGTGACTAACAAAAAGCAAATACATACACCTTTTTCCACTATCACCTTTGTCATCCCCCCACACACAGACACGCACACACGCACACACACACACATCCTTACTTTAAATATCTGTGAATATAGATTTAGCGCCTCAAACAGAACTGATTAAACAAATAATGACACATTCCAAAAACTGTAGCTGAGTACAAATTAATTTGAGCATTGCTCTAATTGAATTTAAACACTGCTCCTCCCTAACCTTAGATCAGGCACTTTTTAATTACTGGCTTCTGAAGACTGAATCCCTACAGTGTTGATGGAAAAATAAAAATAGGGTAAGCTTTACTGCACACTCTGAATGTTTTTATCCAATATAAATGAAACTCCACCCGAGTGAACAGCCGGGCTTTTCTGAAATGGCTTGTTCGGGGTATTAAACTGCCCTTTTCAGATCACCACACATTAGCACTCGCAGCTGAGCTCTGTCATTCAGTCCCGCTGCCCCGTGCCCCCTCGCCTGAACTCCTTCCCTCCGTTTGCACACACAGAGGGAAGAAACGGCAAAATGTGTTTCCTGAAAAGGAGGAGAGGTGGAAAAAGCCCATCCTGCCCCGCGAATCACCGCCGCCCCACCAGAGCTGCCGCCACTGGCCTTTCTGCAGAGGCAGCAAAAGTTCCCCGAGAGGGGAGCGTCTGCCAACTCAAACAGGGCTCATTCTCCTCTCTGTGGGCCGCCAGCCGCCCATGTGGGCCTGCGCTGGGCTTCCTGAGGGCTCGCTGCAGCTGGAGCACTTTGAATAAAGGTAACAGCAATGTCACAGCTACTGTAAACTTGCCGGGCTGCTCCTGTCAGCAGGACGTTCCCAATCAAAGCAGAAACAACCCCACCTAAAACACAACGCATTGTTTTTTTTCCACAAGCCCCAAGTCCAAACTTCCCACGAATCACAAAGAGAGCACACAGGCGAGAGGGCAACCACTGTTCCCTGATCTTGCCAAACAAAATGCCAAGAGACCGGGAGTGACATTCAGCTCTGGGGTTTAAAAATACGAGCAATTTGAAAATGATTAGAGTCTTATTTTATTGTTGAGCGCCTGACACAAGAGAGGAAACCAGAACAATCAAGCCGACTGACTTTTTTTTTCTGCTGAATTTAGAAACACTAATTAGTTTTGCTCTCGTAAAGCCAACCTGAAAACGACCAATTATAAAGTGAAAATGAGATGTGCAGAGGAAACAAGAGCTTGTCATTTCCACACTTCAAGTCCCATATGCACAACTTTACTGTGATGACTTTTGCACACAGCCGAGATGATTGGCATGCCGCCTACTAAACTTGGTGTCACGTCCACACTCTGACCAGTTAATGGCACTTTACATCAAATAGCCTTTTGCTTAGTTAGAAGGAAGCTATTACAGATCTGTATGACCACATCAAACCCAGGCTGAGCAGCTTGGGCATGCAGATGTCCGAGGCACCAGGCTGGGGAGAGGATACAGCCCACCAGGCTGACCACAGCACCAGCTGGTTTCAGCTATAGACCTACCAGGGCCAAACTCTTACCCCCTCACAGGTGCCTTGTTCCTATGGATTTCATCTTTAAAGGGTACTGAAATAATTCCTCTGTATGTGTTATTGTTTCATACTAGTAGCAGGTTAGTGTGAACATTCATGTATTTACGTTTCACACACATGCAGCATATTTCACCTTAGTCATTAGAAATTAACATAAAACCAGTGGAAATTATCTGCAGGAATTTCACTGCTATTCCCCAAGCAAACAGTGGCAAGTGTTTCATCACTGTCGGGCTGAAGACGGATGGGCTGTCAGTGCCTTCCCCTGACCAAGATCCAGCTCCTGGGCTGGGAAGTGGCTAAAAAAGGCCAGGCCTACGCTTTCCAGGCCCGTGCCTTTTACTGGGAGTAATTCTCAGATGCCAGGTCGCTGCCAACGTCCTTGCAGCCAATGGCAGAGAGGCCAGTAAGTTCACATTAACTGCAGAGTGTAACTGCGCTGAACATCTGCTCATGAATGAGAGCGCTGCCCACTAACTCAGCGAGTTGAGGCCCACTGATGAAAAATTCAACGTTCTCCTCGCTGGCACGCTTGTTCTGCACTATTCTCCTGAGCCCCCAGAATTATATTAAGAGAATTTCAGCACGGCCTGGTGTATCTGAGAGAACAGCTGGCGCCGAAAAGAGATCTGCCGCTCAGCGAGAGCTCAGGGACTTCACACAAGATCTGCCTTCTCCTACACCATTTGTCCTTGAAGGAAAAAAAAAAATATTAGTGTTAAGCACCCAGGTAATAATAAGAAAGCAGAGGCTACATTTAGCTGATTACACCACCCATGTGTGCTACAGCGGACAGAGCATAACCAGTGAGGACATGAATCGATATGGACTGGAGAGAGAGGATAGAGGGGCAATTGTGACAATAAGTAGCTCCCTCAGGAGACTCGTTCACTACACCTCTCCTTTGTTTGGCTTGTTTAGCTCATTAGGTTGTTAACTAGGAAGGATCTGCCCCCAACCCCACAATATGGAATCAGTCTAATCAGAAACAGACGCAGTCTGTTCAGGGGGCGACTACATCAAAGCCTTTGGAAAGTATGAAGGCAGTCCCACAATCCTGTGCTTCAATTGCTGCAATTATGTGCCTCATAAGTTTATGAAATCACTGCAGAGGCAACATGGACAAAACATATTATTGACTATTAGCCAAGGAAAGATGCAATCAGAACATCATAACTAAAAGTATACAGTGACATGAACTAACAGTCTTTCCTCCGAACATGATGAAATTGTTTCTCAGTTTAAAAATGTTAAAGTTTAAGGAAGTGATGACTCCAGGCAAACACTAAGAATAAAAGATTACCACACTCAGTAATTTCACTTCTGTCTTTCTGTGAAATACAGTTAACAGATTTCTAAATGTCAGCACACAACCCAACCTGAGTGACTTTATGAAACTTTTATCTCGTTGTTTGTTTGATCTTAATCTCGGTTTCACAGTTTCTGACTTTTTCACCAAAATTAGACTGAATTTACTGAAGAACACCGCCTTTATCTGAGCTCCTGTGCCCCACATGTGGAGACAAGCAGCAGCGAATGAAGGTTTTTTGGCCTTTTATACAAAACACTGAATTATGTGGAAATCATGGCAACAGCCCAAAAAGGGATCTGTGAATATGATATTGCCACTGAAAACTGAGAGGATGTCTGGAGAGTAGCTCATTTAGCCGCTGACAAATGACAGCACTTTGTCTTCCTGACAAGATCCCTCCTTCATCAAATGTCCAACTTCACATGGAAATAGGAAATCACACATTATCACACTGACAAACAATTACAACCGTGTCATTAGCAGCAACCCTGGGCATGAAACCATTAACAAAACACAATGTTGCACACCACGCTAGCCATCAGAAGAAACACAGGATGTAGATGAAAAGGCACTGATAAATCAATCATGACACAAACAACCTGATGCTTATAGTTTGGGAAGGATCTAAATGTTGGGAATGAGGGGCGATAACGGTCCTTTGTTCCAACTAAATATATCACATAGTAATCTCTGGCAATCAAAAGTTTCTCATCTCTGAATAAAGATTTATGTCTGCATCGATGGCAGAACGGCGCTGGCCTCATATTAAAAGTCAACACTTTAGAGGAGTTTCTCTCCAAGTGACTTAATCAGATACGGAGCATTAGTATCTTTTTTAATACATCTGCCAGTGTCAGGCGGCAAATGAAAAAAGCTAGCCTCTGTAAATATGACTGCTTACTTCTAACACAAACATTGTTGACACCTAATGTAATTTCAGCGGGACATCCAAGTGAAAGCGCACCGGGGTAATATAATGCTCTTAATGAGAATTCCTTCCAGCTTGAGACCTTGGCGAGATAGCCATAATGCATGGCTTCTCTTTTTAATAAAATAATTGTTACAGTTATTAAAGATGAATCTCATCACAGTCGAGATGACAAAATAATTCATTACCAAAACCACGGCTTTAAATAGCTGCAAATTATGAAGCCCTGCCCCCACCCCTCCTCCCCCCACCCCTCTGAAAATACACTTCCAGATAAATGGGTTCGTTATTTCATATAAATATTAGATATATGCTGCCCTTGAAAGGAGGGAATTATTGCAACTGTCCATTAAGACGTTTGTAGACACACAATGCACCATGTAAGCCAACGATACAACAACAACTCTGCAATACTATGATTAATTTGATCCTATATCATTATATTACGACCCTTATTCTACCTTTAACTGATACAACTGTGGCTAAATCTTTTATTCTGTTTTCTCTGGATGGTTCAGATGGATGATTTACCTGTAGTGGCATTTTCAACTATTGCTACCGTTTACTGCTACTACTATCATAACTATTTTTTTTTTCTTTTAGGTATAAAATCATTACACCATATATGTACCTATCAATACTGTTATTATCTCCACTTACATACCTAATATATCATGATTACTGTACTTGCGTAGGTATATCTAGCACATACTACAAATATTATACCATGTTAAGGCTTAAACTTCCTGTTTCTTGTGTTTTAATGTTATTTAGGCTATAAAGTGGCACACATTATGGGTTAATTACCCATCACAAACTATCAGCTCTGAAAGCTGCGTCTTATTTTGCACGTAGTCGTCTGACGAACAATTCAAATTGATTATCTACAGTAACTAATCGATTCACCTACACCATATGGTAATAAAATGAGACTGATTTGCTACTGCCGACGTGATGTTGCTCATATTCCAGTTTGTCTTTTTTTGGGAAACCTGTGGGCGTTCCTCCTCGCAGCACCTCCATGTGTGTGCAACAGAGAAAGCGCTGAAACATATGTTTGCGCAAACT